TGATTCCTTTTGTTTAGTTATGTCTATTGAAATTTACGCGAAGTGTAATATAAGTACTAATTTTATATTTTAAATGGGAGGTACGAGCAAAGATGTTTTTAGTTTCTTGTTATTATAAAATGTATTTCTTTACGTAAAAGTGTTTATTATTTAAAATCTAATGACAGGATAATTGATGATTGATAAGAAAAAAAGTTTAATTAAAGTTGGCTTGGGGCTTGGCGAGCTTACTCGTGAGACTCGAGCACCGATAGCAATCATGGGTTTGGTCGTTACACCTTCTTTCAGCATCTTAATTGTGGTGGATGTTGGTGCTCAGTCTATCGACACCATCCTACTTTGACTTCTAGCTCGTATGCCCTAGATTTGCTCAGCCCTTATGTGGCTTACCTAGTTGCACATATATGTGAGAGTTGTCTAGTCATACTACTGCCTTAGTCGTGAACTTTGTCTCTTTTCATTTTGCCTCGACTTGAACTTGAGTCCTATTCTTTAAAGCCCTAGCTTGATCGTCTAGTTTCCCATCGTACGTCTGCATGGTGCTTGTGTGAAACATGAGGTGGATCCTTCGTTCCATAAACACCCTTGTTGAAGCCTTACTGATCAAATTGCTTTTGCTTGGTCATGACATCGCATAGTGTGACTTGTTGATTTTTTTTGTCACATGTAACACGATCACTTCAAGATCCTTGACGTGCTCCTTGAGTTGCTAGTTTTCATGTTGTATCAATGTCATCAACTCAGTAAGCTCTACGTCTTGGCAAATTATTGTATCCATCACGTTGTGCAATTTGCGTACAAAGCTCATCGCTATTGGACCATAGTTGCTCAACACTAGCCTCAATATGTTCAAAGTTGTTCCACAGTTCTTCATCAGTGGCCATCTCCATGAGAGATAGTTAGCCATCAAGTGTGAACAAGACGCCTTTAGATTTGTAACACTCCCTTGCACCCATGTGCACAATTTCTCTATTTGCAATGTCCATGGAAATCTAGCTCAATGGTTCTAAGTTTGACTTAACCTTGTCACCAGTTGATGTCATTCTTCTTTTCTTTAATATACCCAAAGCTCGTTAAAGAAAGGGCTTTGATCGAATGCCTACTTTTCTTGAAAGTTGATGTTTGCTTTGGTAGCACTTGTACAGGCTTGGAATTTTAATCAAGATCTATGTGATGCATAAGTCCTATGTGTGAAGACTAAGGAAACCTAATTATAGTTGTGATGCGAAAGCATGAGCTAAAGAAAAAGATATGCGAGAAATAAAATATATTATTTCCCACGGTCTTATAAACTTATGTCGACTATTAGTGTGTTTTTCCCTTATAATGGTAATTTGGTTAGGGATGGCAATGGGTATCCTGTTATAGGATAGCTGCGAGTACCAAACCCAATTATATAAGGTTAGGGTACACTATAATTGAGTTCGAGTATTGTTCAGGAAGTAATTTCACTACCTATATTGGGTTTGGATACCACTCCTTGGGTATTCGATATCCAATCCGACTATATTTTTTTTCTAATTTCATATAATTAAAGATAAACCCATGTTGTTAATTAAATAAATTCATAAAACTATAATTATTAATTAACTTGTAATATCTTTTAATAAATATACTTTATATATTACGTTCATTTATAAAGAATATAATTACTATTATATGTATATATATAGTTTTAGTATCTATATTTCAAATATAAACATATTTACTTTTTCTTTTGTGTTAATGTTACAAAAATTATAACTTATAAAATTATTAATTATAATATATATACCTTTATTTATATAAACTTATAATATATATACCTAAAGATAAGTTATGACATTAGAGTAATTTTGAAATCTAACTATTTTTTTTAATTTCATGTAATTAAAGACAAACCCATATAGTTAGTTAAACCTGTAATGTTATTTAAGTTATTGTTTAGATATTTATTTTTAATTATTTAAGTTGATATTTGAGATATTTATTTTCGACTATTTAAATTTAAATTTTATTGTTTGTGTGCTTTAATAAATTTAATTATTAGTGAATTATATGAAATATAAATAAAATATATTATTGTATATAGATACAGTTATTGATTCGAGTTTGGGTAATTGAGTACCTAAGAAGAGCGTTTTAATTTTTTTTTACATTATTGAAATTTTAAACAAATTTGGTTAGTTATCAGGTAATAGATATGTATTAAGTTCAAGTTAGAAAAATATTTAATTAGTTATAAAGTTTGAGTTTGGGGATCTCAAAATTAACGGATACTTTATCTACTGAAATTTCTAAATTTCACGCTTTAGAATGAAATCTAAAAAAGTTATTTGTAGTGATAAATAACCTACTAAAGTTAGTAGAAATATAACAAACCATATATATGAAAATTGCCTAAACCTAGACCTATTTGTAAAACAAACAAAATAAATAACAAGTAAGAAAATATAAATAAAAAAAGTATCTTAATTTTCACATAATATTAACTTAGTCGTCACTCTTCTTACAGTTAATATATCATCTTTAGACGAGTGATCCTCTTGTACGTCGGCCTCAAGTGTATGGCTTCCATCAGCGCAGCCCCTATGCCCGCAGCCCACTGATGCGCGTGTTCTTTGCTCGGCAACACTCATTTCTTGCTGGCTCGATGTGCCTGCTGGTTACCTTGGCGTTTTGTGTAAATTTGTTTCCAAAGGGAAATGAATGCAGCGACGGTGAATGACAGCTCTAAAGATAAAAAGGTCCATTGACTTAGAAGGCTACGAAAATAGGGGCTCAAGAGTGACCCATGGACCAGGGCAAACACATTCATTTTTGGTAGGAAAATTACAATTTTGGAAAAGAATGACGTGGTCCACACTCATGAATTGATGTAGCCCCTTGCTTCAGCAATGGGCTGATGTAACCCATGGACCGCCCTATGTGATCATCATTGCTATTGAATCAGTGTCAAATTGGATTAGTACAATGCCACCGAAACTAGACAAAGAATGACAAAGTCAGCAGCGTGATGCATCGCCGCCTAGCCCTAGAGTCTCAGGCTTCATCCTGTGGGACATTTAACACCATTTTCTTGTGAATCATTAAATTTATAAAAAATGAAAAGATACAGAGAGAGAGAGAGAGAGAAAAAAAAAGAAATAATACAAAGAGGGACCACTAGGAAATTAATTCATGCTCAAATAAATAGCTAGCTTTGTAGTATTGCAAACATCAATCCGCGTTTACCTCTATCCGTTAGTAAATATTGTGAAATGTCCTTCTATGCCCATTATATCTAGCAATGGAATAGTCCTCTGATCTAAATTATGGAAGTGGTAATTGGGTGGGTTCAGGTGAGTTGTTGTAGGTCAAAAGAAATTTAGTCATTTAGGATCTAGGATCTTATTGGTTTAAGTTATTTCGGGTTCAAGTTACTTTAAATAATTTATTTAAATTGGAGATTCAAGTTATTTGGATTTGAGTCATTCGAGTTCAAACATTATTAATTTTTAAAATAAAATTTTATTAGATTTTGATAAATAATTTAGATTAAATTATATTTTATCAATTCTAATTAAGTTGTTCAAAGTCACATTTTTCTCAATTTATATTTGATATTTTAAGAGTATTTGAATTTTTTATATTTTACATAAAAAATTAATAATTTTCTCTCAATAAATTATTAATAATTTTTTATTGAGTAAATTTTTTTTGTCGATTCTATTACATTGATTATTATTAGTGATTCGTCATGATTATTGAATGACTTACAACTTATAAAGTCAACCATAATTTCAAATTATTTGAAACAGTATTAATGAGTTTATCGTATATTAAAATTTTATAAAAAAATAAAAAATAAAAATTATTTGAAATTTTGACTACAAATAATTTTTAATTCTCTCTCTAATTCAGTATTGTTCCAGGTCCTTTGATATCATTATCTAATATCATTGTAAGGTGACATAAAGTCAAATATTTAAAATGAGGTGTCAAAATTAATTTTATTGAATTATTGACAAATATTTTTTAGGTTATAAATTACTTTTTGTTTTTAAAGTTATTATTATTTATTCTAATTATCTATTTTATTATTCTTCGAGACTGAAAAAAAAAACTTTTATTTACGATGTATTATTGCAACATTAAATTTAATAATAATAACATAAAGAATTTGGTTTTCTATTTATAATTAAAAGGGACAATATCTAAAATTATTTAAAAATAAAAAATAGTGAACAAAGATTTTAAAAAATAATTTAAAGTTATTGAATAGCACTTTAGAGAAAAAAAAGGTTATTGACTAGCATTAGACTAACATATAATTTGTGTTATAATATTTTTAAAAAATAAAATTATAGTGAATTCAAATTTGAATTTTTTTCGACTTAGAAATAATCAGGTTCGGGTGGTTAATATTTTTGGCCAAATCGAGTTGAATCGATTCAGGTTTGGATGAATTGATTGGATTTTTCGGGTTTGGATTCAATTTTAACTATGCGACTGATTCTATATATTACCATTTATTATATAATTTAAACAACGTCAGCCACCTAATCATTTCTTGCTTTGACGAAGGAGGCGTCGGGATCCCTACTCAAATAGTAGACATGCAATGCTATTTGGCATTGGGAGCGTATTAAATAAAAATACCTTCAATTAATTTTAAAAATTGTTATCATATAAGATAAAATGTATTCATTTTTTACATTTTTTTACTTTCTCTACTCATTTGCCTCCTTCCTTCTCTCTCTAAATTTCTTCTATCACCAGAGAGTAACAAAAAACAATGACGATGAAATATGTTATAATAATAATTTTATTTTATAAATTAAATTACATAATAGTTATTTATGTATTATTTTATTTTTATTTTTAAAACTATATTTATTGCTGACCAAACACGCCAAAAAAGAAAATAACTTCTTCCTATTTCCATCGTCCATGGTACGGAATACAGTGGATTTGTCTAAATCCCTTTCGCAATTATATCTGAATCCTTTTTCAATTTGCCATTCATGCATAAAGCAATATGCTGAAAGGTTGGCATCTACAGCACTCCTAATGCCAAACCTTATTGGTCATTTCAGATTTCCAGTGCAATTTAACAGATTCCATTAGCTTCTTGACATTATGAAAAATTACAGGTGAACTTACACCAGAATATTGGCAAACAGGACAGTAAAAAGCATAAGCGTTACATGACTTTTGATTAATATACAGGAAATCTTTTCTGATTCATCATGGAATGTTTTCATTAACAACTGGGGCAGTGGGTATTTTGGTGTATTCCATATCTGCTTGCAATTCAACCTCTTCCCCATGCGTCTTCTTGCATTGGTAATACAAAACAGTGTATGCTGTACGGCCAAACATCCTCACCATCCAGATTGAATTCAGTAGTAGCAACGTGATAACAATTCGGATTGCTTCCGATTGCTTTAACATGATCAGTCTTGAACACTGCAACAGTAGTAGATATATTATAGTTAACAGAAGATTCAATATAAACCCTTGTAACTTCATGCCTTTGACAATCTGTGCAGCCTTCCCAAGTGCTTCGATCCCGGATGTTTCTTCAAGTACGGAAATAACAAGGGACAGATCCCAAACAACGGATAAATAACTGCAGAAAACCATAGCTGAAATGGAGAGCGGGATCGCAAAAACTGATGAGATGACTCCACTTCCAAGAATTAGAACAAGTGGAAGCAGAGTGAACAAGCAAAGAAAGATGTAACCAAGACCAAAGAGAGTGATGTAGAAACAAGTAACGAATGGCCCTTTCAATGATCTGACTGTCCTCAATACCAAATCCTTGATGGATATCTTTTTGCCACCATGGATTAAAGCTGATGCATGGGTCGTTGATATTGCCAAGAATAAGGACGCAATGGCCATGATAAGCAAGAAAATCCATTCAACTCCAGCATAGATTTTGATGTCTTTCTGCATACCAATTGAAAGGTTGGTAAATTCAGGAGTACCCGGAGTTGTAAGAAGAAGGTCGCTTTGCTTGGTTATCAAATCGGTGAGCATTGATTTAACCGAGAAGACATTGAGCAGGTAGAGCACGGTGTGAAGGGAGATGACGAGTGCTGCTATGAAAGCCATGAGCCTCCCATTTTTGAGGTAGATTTTGTATGTATCTGCTAAAAGTGTCAACAACTCAAAAATCAGGGGAATGAAATTCTCCATTGCAGAAACGAAGGAACGAATGAATAGCTAGGATCCTTGCTCTCAAGATCTTTATTTCTTTTGTAGGTAGCAAGGAGCACAAATTAACAATCCATTTAATTATATACTAATCAAAAAGTAATAATATTTTTATGTATTGAATTAGTCTGCTCCGTGTAAATTAATTGCAAAGGGAAGTCTCGGCCAAGAGCAATTTTCAGTGTTTGCTGGTCAAGTCTTCTCATGCAAAATTTTAATATGTCAAATAGTCTAGAAGTGTGCAAAGTTGACTTCCACCTGTACTTCTTACAATTCAAATTTTAATATTTTTTCTTTTTTTATTAACTTCAGGTGGATATGAAATTATATCTTTAGTTTTACTCGATGAAATTATAAAATATCTTTTTAAGTGTGAATGAATAAGATAATTTTTAAATTAAAATTATTTTGATAATTTGATTGAGTAAAATTAGTGGTATAACGTTTCTAAAAACAAAAGAGACTATAAAAAAAATTAAAACTCAGAACATTATTAATTCTCCCATCGTATTATAATTAGTGTCCCAATTTGCTTTTTTCAATCAAATTTGTTTAAATATGACTATTATTTGTTTATAAATTATCATTAATTGAATTTTTTTTAAAAACCATATTTTTTAAAAACTATATCAATTAATTTTCAAGTGTATATTTATTAAAATTTAATTTAATCAAATATTTTAAAATGATTAAAATTAAATTAATTGGGTTATATACAAAATCAAACTAAAGAAAAGTCTACCAGATGTTTAATTGGGTTAAAAGAAAGATCATGGAAAAGGAGAACAATGAAGCCACCTAAGCATGAAAGAAACATAAAGCTTAAAAAAGAAACAGTTTTGTCGATTACCAGTAATCGTATTTGGTAACAAAATTCTTGACTGAGTCCTTTTTCTTGGGAATTGACATAGTCCCAACAAAACTGCAAGCAGAATGTTGTCATCAAATTAATATAATCACCTTGTTAATCAAGTTAAATAGAACATGGTGACACTTGTTACTGGAGAAAGCAGGGTGTTAAACACAGTTTTGACTATGCTTATCCATTGATCCACCTTGTGCATGCAGCTAAAACAGAATGGTTGCTGCAATGTTTTCTTTGTAACTTCTACTAACTATGAATTAAAGATGCAATTTAAGATATTTCCTTAACTTAGCTGTTAGAAACATTATGCTTCACAATCCCATCCATCAAAGGCATTCAAAAGGTTCTAGACAGCTTTCTTCACTACTCTCATCATTTATTTTCTGTCAACTGTTCAGATTTCAATGTTTTCCCCTCAATCATTTTAGCTTTTTCCCTCAACAATTTGCTTTTCATTTTCGTCCAGATTAAATACCACATGGTTCTGATCCTAAAAGAAAAGTTTCTGTAGTCAATATTCCTGAAGCAAATCATGAACACAAATACAAAATTTGTTGCTTGTATTCTCAGAAGGAAAAATGATCCCACTTAACCATTAAAAAGTGAGAAAAAGCACACAGCAAACCATCAGCTTGGTTGTTGAAACCAATGTGCATCTTCACCTTTCTAAAACCCAAAGTCATTCTCCTGCATTTTCAGTAGTCCTATGTCCTACTGATACTATTTACAACAATCTCAGCTCAAAATGGAATTCTTTGAGTTTGAATTCTCTCTGTAGAATCCTAACTATAACATTATATAAATGTGGTAACAGTAAAAAGAAATCTACACTTAATCTGTTTGATGTTAACATGCAAACATCTTGAGCAACCAAGTATTTTCTGGATATAATTTTGCCTTCATTCTCTTCTTAGGTTAGAAATTAAAATTGATAAATTAATAGTACAGAATCATATTGTTTAATATTGGGTAAAAGTTTGCTCCAAGTTTTTCACTTATTCTTGACAGCTGACAGAAATGCAGCCAGGCCCCCTGGAGAACCTTGTTGAAGAACCCGTGCCAAACTCAATACAGCAACAAACAAGAAGAAAGAATGATGTCATTTGTCATAACAAATGATCACACTTCTTATAAACGAGCTGGCAGAATTGCTGGGTACATACAAAGTAAAGGGTCACAAAAGGCGATAAGATGAAACAACAATTGTTTAATGATCTTACATGTTTGATATGCAAAAGTGGTTCAGGAATAAATCTGCATTCCACAAATCATCCACAACGGGAACAAGCCTATTGCACAAAAAGATGGATAATCGCAGACAAATAACCAGCCAACTGAAAAACAAAAACCAACAATGAGCAAAGTACTCAGGAATCCAGCCGACTGACTGGAATTATTCTGCTCCATCAAAGGAGAAGAATATTAAAATAACTTTACCTGTGCTAGAATACTTTTTCCTGTTTGACCTTCAATAACTAAGCCCGCTGTGAGACCAATCATTGCCCATGCCCCATTAATTGCTTCAATTCGGCGTCTTCTCTAAAATGACAGGAATAGTTCCAGCAAACAACCTTAAGTAAGCATATTGATGCAAAACCATGCCGATGATTGACATCTATTCTTACCAAAAAGGACATGTTTTGTCTTCTACACTGTAAAAACAAAATTACACTGCTGACTTCCCTCCAGCAAGCCAAAGTACAATATCTAAGGACAGGAAACGGAGGGGGACATAAATAAAGTAGCAGCTTGCATAAGCCAGAGCTCAACAGAGCACAAAACTTAGAACGACTCGAGATCTATAGAACAACATGTGGAAGTGGATATCAAAGAAATATCACAGGTTCTAGTAAATTTTGTTATTTTCCAATTTTCAATCAGAACTTCAGCAGGTAATTCCTGCCATTGATATCTTCTCAAGTGGTACCTACCAATGTACAAGCAAAGATAATGAATTCCCATTAACATGAAATCCTTTTTACCTGGAATTTCTCTTTAGCTTTAATTTGTTCCATTTGTTTGGCAGCTAATCGTTTAGCTTCCAAAGGGTCAACCATGATGACATCATTACCTGGATCTCCTTTCCCCGAAGACACCTATTAGATACAACATGGAAAAAAGTCCATGGTCAAATAAAATTTGATATGAGAAGTAGTAGGTTTTCCTTTTAGGGACTACTGCATAAATATGCGGCATTAGCAAAAGCGTTTCTCCTCACTGAATCACAAGTTCATTGAAAGACATGACAAGGGATTGGCAAAAGAAAAGAAATATAATAACATTGCAACTCCAGATAATTCAAAGCAATTGGAATGCAATACAGAATCTCCAGCAATAGAATAAAAAGTGAAAAAAATAAAGTAAAATTCAGTGTTTTGAATTAGCTAATTTTGACAGATTAATTTAATATTTTGAATTATTCAGTTATAGAGTGTTAAAGAAATAACTATCATTAATAGGCACAATAGGTGCTTTTCTCACTAAGCTATTGACAGCATAATCTGGTCAGTCCTTGCTCAATATAATTTTTTTTAAAAAATTTTATTTGATACCATTATGTGTCATTTAATGGTTTACAGCCACAAGTGAGGCAAAGAGACAACCTGTGAAGCCGAAATTAGGCTACAAAGTCATTTCGCAATGAACCTTTTTCATCAAGCACTGCCAACATCAATATAATTTCTATTTTCTATTTTCCATACTCACAACTGATACAAAACCAAGTCACAACAAATTAATGAGTCCATTTATATATTACATACTACAAGAAGGCAGTCGCAGATGTACCTCTAAATCAACCAATATTCATCTAGACATGGAGATCTTACTACCATGAAGCATTTATTGGCTAAATCATTAATCACATACCTACAAAACCTTTCACCATATTCAAACCAAATATACTGGCATTATACATGAGGAAGCCTTGGTTTTAGCATACATTAGGATTGGCCAAGATTCGAAATGCCTGGCCCTTGGTTCTGCTGGTATTTAGACTTGAATAATGGTGTCTTCCAAATCTCCACCTGAAATAGATAGAAAATTTTAGAATTGAAAAAATCTTAAGATACAAATCAGGCCTTCAACTTTTTGTCCTCTAAATTGATCATGGATCATAGAAAACTAATGACATAAAAAAAATAATAACTTCAAACTTCAACTTGGTCCAAGCCATAAGGAAATATTATGTGCAACCTTATCACATGCCTTGAATAAATACTTTTAATAACTGAAATTGGAAGAAGCATGCCCAGGATAATGCTAATTTCTCTTCAAATAACTTCTCATGTATTGTCAGATTAATATGTAAAATAGGTTTCCCAACAGCATTCAACTCAGAAAAACTTTGGGCAGCTAAATGAAGCAAGTTCAACATGATATCATGGTCTGAGCCATTTATTGGACAGAAGTGTTAACTTCCATTTGGTTCCAATTCAACTATTTCAGCGAAAGGAACATATTTCATCAGTAGCAAAGTAACTCAATTTACTTCAAGAGGTCCAAGATGGAAAGTCAACTAGCAACAACCTTTAGCATAAACCTCTTTCACAGTCCCCCTTAATCTAACATCAACTCAAGAGATTTATAACCAGGACAATCGAAGCGAAAATTAAGAATTAAAACATCGTCAAGCAGCAGCACAAACAAACCATTGAAGTATTGGTTGAATTCAGAAACAGAAGCATATCCAACTTAACTTTTGAGAAAAACTCCTGAAATAAACAACTCTTACTTTGGTCGTGGAAAATAAATACATAAGCTGTCAGAAAACAGACGCTCCAACCCCATTAATATTCCAACCCCACATTAATAATTAAAGTTCCATTTGTTTTCTTGTCTTTCTCCTTTCTCCTTTCTTTCTTCCTTCCTTTTTTTCCCCTAGTAACTGTTGCAATTACAGATACCATCAAATTTGTTCTACACAAACAACACTTGGCCTAAAATAAGGCGAATACCCAGATGGTAAAATCATAAAAATGATTTACTAAAGGAGGATAAGGAAAAGTTTGAAGAATAAATGAGAAAGGAAATGCATGAAAAAAGAGCACAAGTGGTGGGTATTGGAGAAAAAGGAAAGTGAAGTTCACCTGAAGATGACAGCAGAGCAACGATGAAATTGAAGAGTAGGAGAGGAGAAGGGGAGACTTCCATTGAAGAAAGGCTGTGCTTGTTGAGATGAGGACATCGCCATCATATCTTCTGGAGTTGTATTTTCTAGTTCTTCTCTATCCATTTAGACAAATTTGAGGGCCTTTTATAATGGCCCAAAGATGGGAAAATTGCTAAACCCCCATTCAAAACTCTTAAAATTACATTGTCACCTCGTTTGTTCTAAGAAATTAATTGCCTGGCACATTACTATATGGAGTACAGGCATCCCAAGCCCACTGGGCTAGCATTGTTAAAAGCCCATTTTATACATTACTATGTCAATTCAAGTGTTGTTTATAATTATTAAAAATTTTTTATTTATTACTTTTTGATATAATAATCATCATTGTTGATATGCATAAGACCTATTTATTAATTGTAGAGGTCCATTCATATTTACTCTTGTCACAGTATCCTTTATCCTATGCTAAGCAAGAACATTTGCCAACCCCACTGTCTTTTCAAAATCGAATTTTCCTATAAATATGATATGCATCATGCTTGTCACTTGTTCAATGACACCGAACCTCACTTTTGAGTTTTTAGAACTTATTACTTATTCAAATCTATCAAAATTTAGATATTAAATCCACTAGATATATCTATATTCATATAATATGATGATTTGATGTCTTTGTTTAAATAATAATTTACATTAAAATATTCCTATAGTGAAAAAATGATTAGAGGAACCAACAACACGAACGAGAATGGAGGAAGCACAACTGATACAATAATCATCGATAATGCCAATACAACCAACCCTTTTGTTGTTGGTAATCTACTACAACAATTTTGCCAACCACCATTCAAGGCTTTGTGATAAAAGAAAAGCTCCATAAACTACTTGACCAAAAGAACAAGAACCTAAACATTTCAAAGTTTGACCTTAAGTTGCCTTATTTGGTTATTGTAACTGTTAGGCCATATCCTAAGGACTACACTAAGCCTAAGTTCAAACAATTTCAAGAACAAGTCACAAAATTTGTAAAGACTTTTGGAGTAGCAAGATTAGACAATGACTTGAAGCTAAAGGAGTTCTCCAAGTCTCTTACTACAAAGCTACACTTGTTATGTTAATCTCACCCCTGAACTACCAAATCTTGGGGTCACATATGCAAAATGTTTAGGGAAAATTTTTTTTCTATTCAGGACAAGGTTACTTTTATGGACTTGGGAAAAGAGCATAAGAAGTTTAGGGAGAATCTTAGGAAATACATTTAGGGGGCATTTGGTATGTTGTAAGTAGGGAATTTTCCTTGTAATTTAATTAGGTGTAATGTGCTTATAGCGTTGGGTTTGCCAAAAAGACATGGGAAAGTCTTTCCATTGTAAAGTGATTACAAAGAGTAAAAGGAATAACATTCCCTCTTCTCATGGATGCAAAGTTACTTTCCCTTTGTAAAAGGAAAGTTACAACTTTTATTATTTCCAAATTATCTTACCCATCACACTACCCTCTTTTCTTCTTCTTCTTCTTCTTCTTCTTCCTTTAATCTCCTGTAGGAACTCATACTTACACATTTTAGTCAAAGGTCAAGACCTGAATCTAATTTGTTGAGTGCTTTTGAAGGTTCTATCTATGTTTGCCTTACTTGGTTGCTTGGGTTTTTATAGTCTTGGAAAGTGGGAAAAGAAGTCTTCACTCTTCAGTTCATTCTCGTGGTGAAGGAAGGACTAAAAAAGGTGGAAGAATAAGTTGTAATGTGAACTAAGGTGGAGTGAAGATAAAATAAAATTACCAAAAGAATGGGCGTTGGCCTTTGAAAAAAAAATAAAGATAGATTAAAAATAAGGATAGATTTAGGATCTAATTTAAATATATAAAAATGATGCCTTGAGTTAGATTAATCTATCCTTATTTTTTTATATCTTTTTATTTAATCATTTTAAATATAAACTTGCTCTTACTATTTATGTATGCTTATAAATAATACTACTATTAATATTATTAAAAGCATTTACTATTTTCTTAAAAAAATAAAAAGAGAAATCATTAGCCAAAAAAACTTAAGACAAAAAAGTTGAAAAACTTTTTGAATAATGTTTTTTTATTATTCATGTGATAATTCTTGGTATTATTACAAAATTATTATTTTTAATATTTTTAGGCTTTATTATGAAACTAAATATTTGGTAGTTTTCCATATTTTAATATTTGAATAATTAGTATTAAAATATTGTGTTATTTCTGTCATGCTATTATTTATTATTTAAAGAGATAAAATGAAAAGTTAAAAAGTTACATTAAAAAGAAGGTAAGTTTATTCAATAATTTTATATTTTCAAATATAAGGATAATTTTGTAAATTTACACTACATTCCTTGTATAATGCTTCCAAATCAAGTACTAAAATATAATTTTCCCACTAATCACATTCCGTACAATTATCATTTTCCTATGTTATACCAAACATTACAAAGTTACTTTCTCAATAATCATATTTTCAATAATCACATTTTCTATAATCATATTTCCAATAAAATATCAAGCACCAACTCAATGTTTTAAAGAAAAGGTGTTGAACATACAAGATTCCCATGATGAGAAAGAACTAGTAAAAGTTTGCATCCAAGATGTTTCATGAGTATAAGCTGCATTAGGAAAATTTACTTTCTCTCACCTTTGCTACTTTGGTTGAAGCCATACAAAAAATCCGTAATACAATTCTTAGATAAATAAGAGCTAGACATTTTGAGATAAGGAATACCTTGATAGTGAATACAATCCAAAAAGGAGGCAAAGAATAAGAGACCTTCGACTTAATATGTGTCATAGATAAGACAACCTAAGAAGAAAACATGATGAAGAGATTGATTTTTCTCATCGTTCTCAATCCCATCATATAGAGTGGGAGCACTTCTTTGCAATTGATTTAGGGATGGACTAATAAACTTCCCCTACATTCCACAACAACAACAAATAAAAGAGAAGTCCAACCCAAGTTCTTGTGACTATCGTAGAAGAGCCTTGCATAAAATATTTTATAATTGGGATTGGCATGCATGAGAAGTAGTTGTTTGAAACAACAGGATCTAGAACAATTCATCTTTCACGTATGTATAATACTTCTAAGGCTTTTACTCTTTATTACTTCATATATTGAATGTTGGCATTTCAAGAAAAGAAATCCATGTTTCAATCACAACTTTATCGCTTATACTTTGTTGCAATGATCTCCACCGCTCATTCTTTGGCCATAGTTCATTATTCGCATTGGAGTTGTAATTTTATCATTCACACTTTAATTGTAATTGTATTTTATATGTTATTGGTAACAAGCTTTAGCGTTCATTCTTTAGTCATAATTCATCACTCATATTTCAAACGCAACTTTATCGCTTGTACTTTGACAATAACTCTATATTTTTCTCTTAGTTGCAATGTTATTACTTATTTATTGATTATAGATTGTTGTTTATGAATTGGCCACCATTTTCAAGTTGAACTAATCTTTGTCACATTAGCATAAAAGGTAACTTTCCATATACAAAGTTGAGATTTTCCATTTAGTTGTATACAGTAATATGAAGTAACATGTATATGGATAGCATTACTTAGACAAGCTTGCAAAGGACTTGTCTATTGAATATTGGCAATCACAAGTCAACTTTCAAAGTATTTTATTATATATGTGTTACACGAGTACTAGAATTACTAATAGCACCCGGAAGTGTGAATTACTATATACGTATTACACTCGAGCAATATGACTCTTAAACTTAACCAAGTATACATGAAACCCTTAAAGGAGAAATGAAGAAACACAAAAGGAAAAGCTGTCAAGTGAAGGAGGATCATGTGGTGGTCATACCTAAATTAGCACGTTATGTTGTGAGGAATGAAATAACTTAACCAATTTCGCTTAATTAGATTTTCTTACGAGGAGAAGCTCTTGAAAGGATATCTCATTTTTTGAAGATTTCTTCCTAGCAACAACTCTAGCCGCTTGCCATAATAGATCTTAAGAGGGTAGTGAGTCTTAGCCATCAAGGAAAAAAAAAAAAGATATCTTTCAGACATCAAAAAAAAAAAAAGAGATAAGTACTCATACATAATATCATTATCTTTACACACACTATGATAAGTTTGATTTAAGATGACATATTTTTAAAATATGCTATTAAAATTTTTAAAATTATTTTTTATATATTTTTACAACACTTTGTAGATTTGATTGCACTAACTTTGAAAAAAAATTGAAAAAGTGAAACTAAAAGTTTAAATAGTTATATTTTTAAGATTTTATAAAAAAAAAATTACTTAAATAATTGTAATTAAAATCAAAATTTAGTGTAAAAGTTTAAATAGCTTCAACACGACCTATGCGTAGGTAATCCCTACATGCAGTTGTTTATGCAACAAAAAAAAAAACTCAAATTTTAAGGTAGAAGACGAATATTCTCTTTTGGGCTCTTGTACTTTGTTTTTTCCTACAAGTTTTATTTACTACTCTTTTAAATTTGTAAAATTCTTACTCTTTGAACAAGTTTTACTGCATCATCTTACTTTTATACATGAAAAATTTCTTAATCTTTTAATTAAAAAAATTTATATAGGTGACAAAAAAAAAAAACTGTTGCATAGGAAAACAATACCATGTATAAGATAATACATTACTCTCAACTAATTCTTTTTAAAATTTTATTGTTTAGAAATTATTTTAATAGCAAAAAATTAGCACGCCTCAAATAATGTTGAGCAAACCAAGCACAGGTAGTATGCGTCGAACAATAGTTGCTCCCAAGGACCTAAGACATGCCTCCTAGAACAAGTCTCGCATAGACATACTTATTCATAGATGAGATTAAATTCCTTTATTTTTATATTCTTCTTTGTCTCATTATTCCATTTTACTAGCAATAGATTGGGACTTCTTTTCTCAAGAATCCTCATGCAAAATGCTTGATTTTTATTAATAATTTATGATTTTTTTAAGAGTTATTTTACAATAATTATCGTGCTTTACAAAGAACAATAAAAATAATTAGAATGTATAGAACATGTATATCACGCGAACAATTGTGAAAGTAACTCAAATAAATGGTAAGTTCATACTTTTGAAAATATTTTAAAGAGCTTGATTTGAT